CCTCAGCCGCCTTCCCCCGCGGCTTCCGAGCGCCTCCCCCCGAGCCGCGGCGGGGAAGCGGCGGCCACCGCCGCTCCGGAAGGAAACGATTTTTTTTTAGGTGCCGCTCCCGACTTCCCCGCGCCGTGGCCCCGCCGCCCTCCGGCGTACCCTCCGCTGGCCGGGGCCGGGGTCGGCCGCCTGCCGGGCGGGGGTACCGCGGGGGCTCCGCTCGGCTCCCGCCGCCGCGCCAGGGGAGGCCCGGGGCTCATCCGGGGCCGCAGCTTCTCATCGCCCAGCGGCGGCCACGGGAGGCAGGGTGGACCGTCCTGCCCCGGTTTCTCGTCCGAAGGCTGGTCACGGGTAGGCAGGCCAGGGGTGTATTTCGGGAGGAGGGAAGCCGTCTCCTCTACCCCTGCTTCACACTCTGCTCCCTGGCCCCGTTAACTTCCCAGCCAAGAGCTATAGCCCTCCCTGGCCATGTCTTTTCCTATGGCGTGGACCCCGGCAGCCCAAATATATTATTGTTTGTATCACAAGCTCAAAGATGCTGGAGCATTGCCTCCTCATCCTCCTGACCTTAGGGTGACTCCACTGCCCACAGCCCAGACTGACGGCAGGAATCGAACATCCAGGCCACTGTGCCTGTAGAGACAGCTTTAATTCTGAAGCTTAAGAGCACCCTCATATCCCCCATATAGAATCATAGAATGCCCCAGTTGTAAGGGACATTTCAGATCATCTAGTCAAACCATCAACCTAACACTAAAAAAAGTCATCACTAAACCGTATCTCTGATCACTACATCTTAGCGTCTTTTAAATACATCCAGGGACGGTGACTCAACCACTTCCCTGGGCAGCCCGTTCCAATGCTTAATAGCCTTTTCAGTGTAAAGATCTTTCCTGATATCCAATCTGAACCTCTCCTGGCGCAACTTGAGGCTGTTTCCTCTTGTGCTGTCACCTGTTACTTGGGAGAAGAGACTGACCCCCACCTCTCTACACCCTCCTTTCAGGTAGTTGTAGAAAGCAATAAGGTCTCCCCTCAGCCTCCTCTTCTCTAACCTGAACAATCCCAACTCCTTCAGCTGCTCCTCATAAGACTTGTTCTCTAGACCCCTCACCATCTTTGTTGCCCTTCTCTGGACCTGCTCCAGCACCTCAATGTCTTTCTTGTAGTGAAGGGCTGAAAACAGGACACAGTACTCAAGGTGGGGCCTCACCAGTGCCGAGTACAAGGGGATAATTACTTCCGGAGTCCTACTCACCCCATTGTTCCTGATACAGGCCAGGATGCTGTTGGCCGCCTTGGCCACCTGGGCACACTGCTGGCTCATATTCACCTGGCTGTCAACCAACACCTTCTGGTCCCTTTCTGCCAGGCAGCTCTCCAGCCACTCTTCCCAGAGCTTGTAATGCTGCATGGGATTGCTGTGACCCTATATCTATCTATATATGCGCATGCCTAGTTTCATTGTGCAAGATGCTTATCTCCAGCAAAAGCCATAAATTGTTCCTCACATCCATTTGTCATTTCACTGAAATACATACTAGTTAGTTCAGATCCAGTAGCATATGTTTAATTTTTGGTCAGCAAAACCACCTATTTTTGTATCTAAATCCATGGGATTATCTGTCACTTCATGTGACTATCAATTGTCAGACAAGGAGTATGGAAGCTGGTATTGTGTGTTGCTGGCAAAATTAATGGAACAGATGTGAGAGCAAAATTTCAAGCCTGTTTCTGAAGAGACAGAAACTACTTCACCCACCCAATGAAGGAAAAAGCCTACTCTGCATAGTCTTTAGCTACAAAGAGGTCACTTATTGAAATAATGTTCAGTTTTCCCTTGTCCTTCTGCCATATGCCGTGAGCAGGCTGTGTGCTCTTTGTGGTTTTGAGATGTGTGAGCACCAAGCTCAGGAAACCTATCCGCTAGCATCCCTAGGGCTGAGCATCCTTTCCAAAGCAGCCTATCATTCGTTTCCTCTCTACATATACATAGGCTGGAGCACTTATATTGCCAAGCAGCAAGGCATTATGTAGCAAGCACATACGCCTATTCATTCTGCTGTCACTACTAAAAACAGCCCAAGCAATGCGTTTGGGCACAAAAATACTACCCAAGATGTCCTGTGAGCATCAAGGTGGCAGAACCTGGGTTTATCAAGCTACTAGCAGGCTATCAAGCTGCTATCAAGCTACTAACAGGCAACAAGCTAAGCGGAAGGTTGTCCTTCAGGAATCTCTTACCATGTCATTAGGGATTATCAGTATTATGGGTGTCTCAGCTTTCCACAGGAGACTTCCACTTAAAAATACTATCTCCTGCTCTTTCACCCTAACCCCCCACAAATAGCTGGGGTTTGCTGGGTCCCAGCAAGTCGTGTGCAGAGTGACCTCCAGTAGTAAGGGCTCCTTTGTGCCTACACAACCCAATCATGATGGTGTCCCAAATTTTCAGACAACTGACTGCTATGGGGTTGCAGAGGTACAATGCATGACACTAAGCTACTTCCATCCCTTATGCATAGCATACCCTGAAATGACTCCAACCCGTGTCAGCTGGGCTGATTCCTTAGGTCTGACAGTGCTTATTTTTGTTAAAAAAAAAACTAACAGGAGACCTGTGAGAGGTGACCATAAAGCCTTTTACACACTGCCAAGATGAAAAAGGAACCTTAAATCGTGTGTTAACAAGATAGTTTATAAAGGAATTGAGTATAAGGATATTTGGAGCAGAAATATTACAAGCGTGTACATGCGTTTGTATTTTTGGTTTGGTATATTTGCTCCATCAGTATTTCCATACACTGTGGGGAAATCTGTTGAAGGTTTGTGGGTTTTTATGGACAGACCAAGACGCACACTGGGCTACTTCTCTAGGAGCAATGGTGGCACATAGTGGTTAATAATAAATCCTCTGTCTGTGTTTGGAAAAGGCGTGAAACCCAGAATGCCTCTGCAGTTAAAATAAATACTTGATATAACAACTTGCTGAGATGGGTATTGTGAGTTCATGTATACATGCCTTTTTACATGTTATAAGGCATTTGATAACAATATTACACCAATGTTACACTGTATGTATTGGGGGAACAGGAGGGGCCAGGGCCAGGTGATAGCTTCAAACACTAGAAAGATAATTTCATAACAAAAATTGCATTGGAAATTAGAAAATCCGCCTTCTGTACACTGTACCATGTGTTTCTAATTATAATCTTTGGGGAGACTTAACATTTTGGGGTTTTCTCTTGTAAAAGACATGGAAAATGCAATCTCCCATTTCACCACTGTAATTTTACGGCTTCTGATCAACACATGACCTTTAGCAAAGGAACAGCAGAAACATAGGGGTATGTCCTTAGTAATACTTTAAAACTAAAATAAATTTTTTTTTGAGCTCTAAAAGGAGTTGCCAGTCTGTCTTACACAACGATCCCAGCAGAAGCCTGAGTTTGAATGGCTGGTTATCAATGTCACATTCCCACTTTACTTTTTTGAAAGTCATTATGGCCACACAGAAACCAGTCATTTTGTCTTCTACAGGCACAAAGCCTTGGACTGAAGGGGCAGTCAGCACATCTGCAGTGTCAGAGAGGAACAGAACAGTTTTATTCCAAACTTTTTATCCTATATTTTAGTAGTAGTCTTACTACTTTTCCTTAGGTTGAAGTCCAAAGCTACCAGTGATAGATTGTTAGGAATTACCAGTAGGCGTCAAATTCAACACTAGACAGAAAATAAAGGAAGATAAATCTCAAGTGCATTCCTGGATGTTTTCACTCAACTGGCTTGCTGAGATATCTGGATATGATGCTGACACTTGAGCTGCAGTTTAGAAATGGTACCCATTGTGTAAGGCATCTAAAACAAGATAACACCAACACCACTCACAAACTCTTCACAGCAGCCATAGGTGAAAAGCACTGACTAAGCTAGCTGCACTTTAAGTGAGACTGAGGGAAAGCTATGAAACTGTGTCTTTGGGCACAGTCTTTTATCCTGCTGGTCCCATGTCCTGTGTCAGCCATCTCATGAAATGAAGCTTTAACAGTATAGGTTGATGAGCTGAGACAGAGCGAGCCCCAGAGCACATTAGAGCTGAGCAGGGAAGAAAAAGCATTTGATTTGATTCCACTGCCAGAAAGGAGCCCACTGAACTGAATTCTGGTCCATTCTGGTCCATATTTATTTCACTCAACCTCAGATATCCTGCACAAATGAACAGGTCAGTTAGAACAGCAGTATTTCTTTTCTGCATTAGTAACCAGTTGCTAAAGCATGCAATATGCCAGCTGTAAAAGAAAACTGAAGCACAACTGGGAGGAGAAATTAATTGCTCCAGTTGTACTAGAGCTGTTACTTCAGATAGAACTCCTGACCCTTAGCTGTGCCAAGTTTTGCTCTAAAGAGAGCTTTATGGAATAGTAAGATTAAATATAGACACAAATACAGGCACACATATCAAAAATTTAGTAGCTGCTATGGTATAAAGCAGCTTAGTGCCATTCCAGAAATTCCCATTTGGGATTGCTGGTACAATAAGTGTCTCAGCTTTCTATATGTGTTTTGTTTCTGTGTACGTTGGTATGGAAGTCATACAATGTATGTTTCCCACTCGGCAGACCAAAATCAACTTTAACATATAACTAGGGTCTCTGTTTAAATTTTGGGGAATTAAGGGCAGGTTTAGAGAATTTCAGAGATGGAAAACAATTTCAGATATCTATTTTGAGTTCAAGAAGATCTTGTTAACATACTGTGTGAATTCAAAAAGCAGCCTTAGGGATGACTTCAATTTATGTTGTAACAACCGCTATAATCAACTCAAGTTCTGTTAGGAAGTTAAGAAAGAATGATGGTGATGAATGTCATTTTCAAACAAAACAAGTAAGTCTGGAACAAAATGGTGACAAATGGATCTACTTGACACAAGAAAGAAGGAACTCAAGACTGACATATTCATTACTGAAAGTACGGAAGCTGTTAGTATCACTAGTAGGACATGTCTCAAAATTTTGCAGTACAGATTCAGTCTTTGAAGTCAAAACAAGACTTTTTTCACTGCTTTTTCACTTTCATTCTTTAAAAAATCACCATGAAGCAGAGAATCCCTTTCAAGTGTGTGAGGTTACAAAAAATTTATATCATTTGGATCTACATGATAGACCATAAAGTGCCCACCCCGCAAAGAAGAGCTAGCACTGCCATCTGCAAAACACAAGACATTTAAATTGTCTTGTAGAGGAAACTTTGAAAACATGAAGTTTGAAATTCCCTTTGTGCATTCAATATTATTGTGGAGGCATATATACATCACTTACAGAGAAGAAGTTGTAACTGCCAACTATCCTTTAACGTTTTCAAAAGCAAATATTTATTTATTGATACATCTGGGTAATCACATGCATTAATGGTATATTAAGTAAGAAATAGTTCTATTTGCTTTATTTTTACTCTTATGTTCTAAAACTCCAAGATGTTTACACCGAACTTGGCATTATCACGTGGTGCCTGCGTTATTGGAACACCTGATTCTATCACCATTTGCATTTCTCCATACAGTTTGATTTCAGAAAGTAATTGCAGGTCCAATCTGTTAAACCTCATAGATATTTGATTGAACTTGATTAAAACCTATCCTGTTGATTTTACTGAGCACCGGACCTGGTCAGATCTTGGATTGGCCTTTCTTTCAAGGGAGATCATCTCCTTGTGCATGTTCAGCCACATCCACACACTTACCATCTTACTACCATTTCCTTGAAGAGCAATGACCCCTACTGGGGCAGGAATTCAACTGCAATGCCTTACTCCTTCACTACTGACCACAGAGCCAGCTGTGGAGCTCCTTGTACTCAGTCCCACTCAAGATTGAGATCAGTGAAGAGTAACAGGCATTACTGAAAGCAAAACCTTTGTATCTTCCAGAATTATATGGAGTTCTGAAAATGCAGCAGTAACTTGAATTTTAGATTCAAGAGGAGTTTGCAATATTAGCTATTTCCAAGCCAATCTATTACTTATGAAATGAATGTACCTGATCTGCAATTCAATGAAAGATAAATGTAGAACTTCATACTCCTGCAATTTATTTTTGAATTAACACCAAATTGAAACAATATGAGTGATAGACTAGGCTCTGAAATGCATACTTATGAAAATCCGCTCAGATTTAACATTTTTGACATTTATTAATGAAGAATTATTATGACACCTAAGTGTACGTTGGCAATTTGTGTGTAAATTTTATTTAACATTTTTTATTTTTCAAACTTTCAAACAGCTTAATTTTTTCTGTATTTTGTAGTAGTTTTCCCTCTCATCTTAGAATGCAAACAAATGAGACTAAACCACTCTCTCTTAGGAATAGGAGACATCCATACACAGCTCCCACCTACATGTGGGATACATGAAACATTCCTATGTAGTGGACAGCAGTCTCTACTCTCTTTCTCCTCAGGTGCTGCAATAGCTGTCAACTTGTACAGAAGGCATAGTCTCAAGTAGTTTCAATGGGTTCAAACCCAAATCAAGAGATTGTATATCATTTCCCCCCACAGGGGTTGACCTCCATAGGAAATACTCAGGTAAGTTAGGAAAGGTGGACTTTCATGCCATCTAACCTGTAATGCAGGCGTGTTTTGTAACACACTGCACAGGCTTTGATCCTAACACCAGATCAGGCACGTGGCTGGAGAGGCATCCTTCCAGTCCACAGTAGAGCATCTTCTCCTCTGAAGCCACAGGACGAGATGGTACAGTGCATGGACAACTCTTGTACCAACAGAGACACACTTACCTGGGAGCAGGGAAGCACTCTCTGGAGCGACAGTATGGGTGCACTGGTAGAGGCTGTAGGCAAAAAGACTTTTCCAAAATCCTGCAAAAACTGTAAGTTACCCAATTTGGAGCATTTTCGGCTACTGTTGTCCCAAGAAGTGTATTTTGGCCTTATTAGGTCACTTAGGGTAATTTTCCTGAAAGAATCCCAAGCAATGGAATCTGGAGAACATTTCACAGGAACTGAGGACCTGTGTATCCCAGGGAAACTGTCGGTAGAAGGCATCTGTTTTTCATAGGTTCTTGCATTTCTGATACTACAGAATGCAGTGTTGTTTGCTGTATTAACACTTTTGTCAAAGGTAACACTTTTTGCCCACTCTTCCAGTGGCAGAAAGAAGGATAAAGCAGAGTAATGTCTGGCCTTTGAAAGCAAGTCAGCAATATGCTGCCTCTCCATATCCGCTTAGGAGAGATAAAAAGTCATATACATCAATCCTGGTAAAGAGGTAGCAACAATCATGTGGAGCTTAACAGAAACTCTCACTTTTTAAGACCTCAGCAGAAACATTTGGTTCTCAGTGTACTCTGAGAACTGACTGTACACAGAAAGATTGAGGTTGAAAGTAAGAAACTTTCTTGCTTAACATAACTTCCCTACATTAACTACAGTAGGGAAACAACCTGTGTAGTGCTTTATTCCAAAATTTTAAAATACGTTCATAAGGCAGAAAATGTTCTTGTTGTTAATACCAAAGGTAACATCACCATTTGATCAACCTGGCCACAAGAAGCCTTTTTTTTTTTTTCCCCCTTGGAAACAAAGGAAAAAAAAGAAGGTAAAATACAAGATTAATTTCTAATAGCAATACTCATATCCTCTGTGCACAAATACCTTGCTGATTAATCTGCAGGCTGAATCAATGCATGCAAGGAAGCTGCATGGCATAGACTTTATTGTGTTGTTTTATGCAGGCAGAGGGCATTGCTTAAGAAGCAGATGCCAAAAACTCTGAAGATTGTTCAAGCCATTTGAAAAGAAAAATCTGTCAAAGAAAAGAGATGTTTAAATCAAATTTTAAAAACAAAACAAACAAACAAACAAAAAAAAAACCCAAAGAAAACAAACTAAGAAACCCCAAAACAAACAAACAAAAAATCCAAAATCACAAAAACCAAACCAACCAAACAGAAGACATCTCTAGAAAGGAAACACCAGGATGCCTGTAGAAGTGAGCAGCTAGTAGTCCCAGAAGAGAAATTAAATAGTTATCTTCCACTATAAATCAGCCAAAACAGAAGTGCCAATAAACACATATACACAACATTTAGTGTCACTAAACCACGTAACATCTTAAAAATTACGAGAGAACTGAGGTCCCAAAATTATTTTAAACAGGCTTTTTACAGATCTTATGCATGTTGGTTTGGTGAATTTCCTACAATGTTTTCTTTGATGCAGTCCTTTTTTAAGAGGATCTTAACAAGTTTATAACAAAGTGAAGTTCCTTCCAAAGTAACTAGGAATTTTACTGAAATATCACTTTTCCTCAGACCTGGCATCAAAGTCACCTAATGGAACGTTCATCTAGTCTGCAACTTGAAGCATCTGGCAGAAGGATGAATTATTCTTTAGATACTCACTCTTTGCATTAAATACTGCAATAACATTGTTTTGCAATTGTTATATAAATCCAGAAAAAAACAGCTTTAGTTTGTATATTATGTAACTTTCCCCTCCCAATTCTAGAGATGAATTTCCATGTTTGAATTAAGAATATAAAGAATTATACCGAAACATTAAGAGACCAAGATAACAAGAATTCTAATGAGAAACAACTTCTGCAGCAGGTAAGTGTTTTGGTGGTAGAGTTATTTTAAGAAAACCAGGCCACTGACTCCTTGCTTGTCACAGATGTATGGACACAGCGTTGGGGAAAGTTTCTGACCAAAATACATACAGCTAAATGTAGTCAGTAAGGTAAAATTTAATGGGTGTCACTTTTTTTTTCTTTTTCAAGAAAATCCTGAGGAAGCTTATTTCTCACTTCGAGGTCGAACATACATCATATATATAGCTTCTTACTAGTTCTTCTGTCCCTTGGCAATTTGTTACATATTGCAACATTCATTTCCACACAACATTACTGCTAGAAACCTTAGATTTTATTAATTTGTTTGCTACTGCCTAGGGATTTGACAACTTGTCAATTTAATGCACTGGCATCCCAGCTGCAAACAGTATCTTTACTCCATTTGCTAGGAGAGCCTGTTCTTCTCTGGCTTTGAGCTTTCCATAATCTTATACTTCAGCCCTTATTACTTCTAATGTTTTATATTTTTACTCATATGCATGAAGCCCGAGCTGCTGTTCTATCAGCTCATTCAATTCTAAATGCCTTGTTCAGGATTTATTCTTGTTCTAAGTATAGATCACTTTCTGTGTCACATTTCAACCAGGGACAAAGCCTGATTTAATGTCATGGCTATGTCTTTATCCTCATCTTAATCTTAACAAATTAGGAGGCTTCCCGTTTCCTTTCTATTTTTTTTAATGGTCTGATTAAAAAGCTCTTTCACATTATATTGTACTGAAAACCATGCTATATGGTAATTTAATATTGCAGGTATCGCAGTTTTTATGGGGTGCAATGAAGATACAATAACTTGTCAGATCTTTTGAGCAGTACAGACCATTTCAGAGCAAAATAGATCTTTCTGATTCCTGCTTTGACATTTTGCCCACATACCTGACACAAACGGTTCTGAAATTCAGCGCCTTTAATCTTAAGAAACAGCCTTAAAATCAACAGTAATGAAAAAAAAGAAATAGCACTTTTGGTACCTGACATGCCAATTTACAAATTCTTATTTTAGCTCACTTTTCATTGAGATGAGACAGCATTTATAACATTGCTCATTAAAACGAAACATAACTCATGCAAATATGGAGACTGAAGGCCCTGTGCTTATTTTACCCTAGCAGCTACTTTTATAAGGCACGTGCTCTTTCCCTTAACAATTTACCACTAACAGTGGTAGCAATATGCTAAAACATTATTCACTTACAGCTTCTTCCACAACAAAATCATCCTTTGTCATCTTCACTATGGATCATTTTTATCACTTCCCGTTCTGAGAAAGCACCAAGTTGTTTATAAGAGAGACCCAAACAGCTGAACACAAAACACTGCTTCAGCCTGTACGTTTATACATGTGTTTTCAACATTGAGTTGTGCCTAGAGAGAAGAAGCTATAAAGGCCAACCATATACTTCATATACCACACTGCCACAGGTATTAAAAAAGAGAAGTCCACCAAATTTGAAGCAAATAATCTTGATAACTGATACAGTAGGTTTGTGCTGCATGTGCTACAGCAACTATGTGCTGTCATAAAACTCTCTGCCTTCCACCTTAAAGCTCTGCAACGCTTCCTCCTACAAGACTAATCTTACAACATGCAACGAGAATCCCCATAGATTAACTCACAGCTACAAGAGTTTCAATTTACTGCAGCAGCTGCAGCAAATTGGTTTCTGAGCTGAAAGTGGCCTTTTGGAGAATTTCCAAGAAGAGCACAATCTGCACAGAGGAAACCCCAGAGGGAAATGAGACCTCTTTGGGAAGGCTGGTTCATATGCTGGGTTGCCTGTGAAGCTAAATATGTGGGTGGAAAAAATACGCACACCAAATCAGGATTTGCGTGTTCTCCTGTAAATGCAGCATGTCATACTGCTATGAATTAACTATTCCCCTACCTCAGTGTAACACAAAAACTGTCTGCCAGCTTGTTTCAGTAGTGCATTGAAAATATGACTGTGTACAGGAATTTAGTTGCTGTGTTGCCTCAATAAAACCTAATATCTCAGAGGAGAGAATGTCCAGTGCTTACTTTCCACAACCAGATGACTTATATTAGGTGTGTTAACCTTAACAATATGCATTCATAAATAAATATTCTGACTCTTGGATTCAGTGTGTCGTGGTCAGCATTAGAGCAGTATCAAGATCATTGCAAAATGTGACCAGCTGCAGAGATTCACAAACTCATTCTCCACGACTAGAAAATCGTCCTGACAAGTCCCTCTGTCAGGAAGAGGGTTGCCGGTCAGGATGCACCACCACCACTACTGATCAGACTAGCTGCTCCCAGGCAGAAGTCCACTGAAAAGCAGCCTCAAAAGGGAGAAGTCAGTGTCACACCATCTGGGGAATCTGGTCACAAGCACTTTACTTAAACCACATGTGCATCACCTCAGTTCACTTCAACTACATCTGTTCTCCAGAAGAAATCTGCCTGGGTTGGTTTTGTGTTCAGGAAGTATCCATCTAGGGGCAGTCCTGCGATGATTGTATGTGAATAGCTGCAACCACCATCCATTGCTGTTTGCAATTGGACATGCCCAGAGAAGCTGAGCGCCTGCAAATGTAGACAGCTGGCCATTTTCAAGATTTAGTTTAGTAAGCTTGTGGTTTGAGATTAGCTCAAAGGGAAAGGGAAAAGGGAAAGAAGAGAAAGAGAAAGAGAAAGAGAAAGAGAAAGAGAAAGAGAAAGAGAAAGAGAAAGAGAAAGAGAAAGAGAAAGAGAAAGAGAAAGAGAAAGAGAAAGAGAAAGAGAAAGAAGAGAAAAGAAGGAAGGGGAAAGTCGAAGAGAACAGGAAAGGGAAGGAAGGGGAAGGGGAAAGAAAAGGGAAAGGAGAATGAGAAAGGGCAAGGGATAAGGAAATTTTTATTTCAGGGAATTTTTCTATTTAGAAGAGCATAACCACACAGAGCCAGGTCCTTAGAGCAGATTCTGCAGTCTGATCTGCTTCAAAGCATCTCTGAAGTAACCCGTGGTACATTATCCTTGGGTAGGGCAATTTGTCATGGAGAGGTTTAGCATCTACTGCTGCTGCAGTTCTTTATTGTTCAAATAAATACTAATTCAGCACTCGCATACCCGAACATTATAAATGAAGGAGCAACTTCTGCCCTGCCCATAGACATCTCACAACTCTCATTGCACCTTTCTTTTTCAAATCCTGAGGTGACCAAGGTAACTTTACCCATGACAAACTCAGAAATGTCACTTTCCCTCTCCTTTTCCTCTTTTATACTCTGTCTTGTTCAATGAGTGCATTGGCAGAAGGAAAAACAAAGACAAAAACAAAAAAAAAAAAAACAAGCTGGAAAATGTGGAAACATGTAGCCTGCTCAAGCAAGAAGCCCTGCGAGATCCTTGCAATGTGTCAGCTCTGTACTTCACTGAAGTAGGGCAAGGAAGAACCTCATGAGGTTCAACAGGGAAAAGTGTAGGGTCCTGCACCTGGGGAAGAAGAATGTCAGGCACCAATATAGGTTAGGCGTGGATCTGCTGGAGACAAGTTCTGAAGAGAAAGATCCGGGGGTCCTGGTGGACAGTAAAATGACAATGAGCGAGCAGTGTGCTCTTGTGGCCAGGAAGGCCAACAGAATC